GTTTCACAGATGGAACCTAGTATTTTGTTAAATCGATATTTTTTAATTTTATTTAAAATAATTTAAATATGTAAATATAAAATTTATTGTAAAAATATGTAATACAGAGATTACAAAACACAATTAGTGTTAGGAAAATTACAAATATGCTATAAAAGTGTTAGAAATATGCAAAATTTAAGCATTTAAAGCCAACTATGCAATTTATGCATTTATAACAAAATATGCAACAACAAATCGATGTCATTTTGTAGCAAATTTTTTTATTCGAAATGTAAACTAATTAAAAGTTATTTTGGGTTACTGACTACTACATGCATTTGCATAGAAATCCTTGCCCTACTTATAGGTCAAGGTTTTTATTCTACTATTCAGTACCTGGGATGCACATTTGATTTTAAAATTGTATGTGAATTGATATTGAAAAATTTACCAAGCATACCCTTGTACCGCTGTATTTAGAAAGCTCTGTTTTTAAATAACTATTTTGTTATTATTGAAATGCTGAGATTTAAAATCCCGGGATCCCGAAACCGGGATTTATTTAAAATCCCGAATCTCGTAATTTCTAAAAATCAATCCCGATTGACATCCCTATCAAAAAAATATATAGTTATTTAGGTATATTTCTAAAATTATTGTTTTATAAAACTACAAAAATTTATCCTTAACTTACTGCCAGCAACATAAATCAATCAATCTACACTCTTACTTTTCGATATTTCGTTCCGAAAAAACAAATTTTTAAAGATTGTACTTGGAAATTATTTAAAACGTTTATGTGAAAATAATAATATGGTTATATAAAAATAAGAAATAAACTGTTTACTTTACTTACCCTTTAATACACTCTGATTAACATTCCTTATTTTTGTTAATTAAACCGAAACCGAACCGTTTACCGTTTTATTTACACTATTTGCCATAGTGGCAACTCTATATTATGCATTTACTTAAAAAAAGAAGAAAACACTTGTGAATTTGTTTTCATAAACAATACACAAAAAACTTAAACATTTCTTGCTTTGCTTTGATTTTGCTAGCGAACTTGCGCTCTTTTCTTTATTTAAATGAAGCAAAAGCTTTCCACAACAACAACACCACCTTTTTAAAATCATGCGTAAAGAGATTTTACATAGGCGAGACAACAAAAACTTAACACACCACTTAATACGCAAACAATTATGACATGACTGAATTTGCACATTTTTTTATGCATTTTTTCTTTTACAGATTTATTTTAATAAAACTTTAATTTACTATTGACTTTTTACGATTTTTATTTGATATTTTATCAAATTAGATTAATACACTTATTATTTTATTGATTTTTAAAACATTTTAAAACACTTTTCCTAAATTTAATTTGCAATTGAAAACGAGCAACGGATAACAACGTGTGATTTTAATAGCGAACAATTAACAACTGAATGCAAATGTCAAATGTTAGTAGATGTAGAGTTGCCCAGGAAAGGGGATATTTTATATAACGGGATTTTATTAACTGAAATGCGAAAATAATGGTAATACAGCAGGGATTGGATATGATTATGGTACATAATTAGTTTTATAGTTAGTTAGTTAATAAGTTAGTTAGTTAGTTAGTTAGTTAGTTAGTAGTTAGTTAGTTACTAGTTAGTTAGTTAGTTAGTTAGTTAGTTAGTTAGTTAGTTAGTTAGTTAGTTAGTTAGTTAGTTAGTTAGTTAGTTAGTAGTTAGTTAGTTAGTTAGTTAGTTAGTTAGTTAGTTAGTTAGTTAGTTAGTTAGTTAGTTAGTTAGTTAGTTAGTTAGTTAGTTAGTTAGTTAGTTAGTAGTTAGTTAGTTAGTTAGTTAGTTAGTTAGTTAAGTTAGTTAGTTAGTTAGTTAGTTAGTTAGTTAGTTAGTTAGTTAGTTAGTTAGTTAGTTAGTTAGTTAGTTAGTTAGTTAGTTAGTTAGTTAGTTAGTTAGTTAGTTAGTTAGTTAGTTAGTTAGTTAGTTAGTTAGTAGTTAGTTAGTTAGTTAGTTAGTTAGTTAGTTAGTTAGTTAGTTAGTTAGTTAGTTAGTTAGTTAGTTAGTTAGTTAGTTAGTTAGTTAGTAGTTAGTTAGTTAGTTAGTTAGTTAGTTAGTTAGTTAGTTAGTTAGTTAGTTAGTTAGTTAGTAGTTAGTTAGTTAGTTAGTTAGTTAGTTAGTTAGTTAGTTAGTTAGTTAGTTAGTTAGTTAGTTAGTTAGTTAGTTAGTTAGTTAGTTAGTTAGTTAGTTAGTTAGTTAGTTAGTTAGTTAGTTAGTTAGTTAGTTAGTTAGTTAGTTAGTTAGTTAGTTAGTAGTTAGTTAGTTAGTTAGTTAGTTAGTTAGTTAGTTAGTTAGTTAGTTAGTTAGTTAGTTAGTTAGTTAGTTAGTTAGTTAGTTAGTTAGTTAGTTAGTAGTTAGTTAGTTAGTTAGTTAGTTAGTAGTTAGTTAGTTAGTTAGTTAGTTAGTTAGTTAGTAGTTAGTTAGTTAGTTAGTTAGTAGTTAGTTAGTTAGTTAGTTAGTTAGTTAGTTAGTTAGTTAGTTAGTTAGTTAGTTAGTTAGTTAGTTAGTTAGTTAGTTAGTTAGTTAGTTAGTTAGTTAGTTAGTTAGTTAGTTAGTAGTTAGTTAGTTAGTAGTTAGTAGTTAGTTAGTTAGTTAGTTAGTTAGTTAGTAGTTAGTTAGTTAGTTAGTTAGTTAGTTAGTTAGTTAGTTAGTTAGTTAGTTAGTTAGTTAGTTAGTTAGTTAGTTAGTTAGTTAGTTAGTTAGTTAGTTAGTTAGTTAGTTAGTTAGTTAGTTAGTTAGTTAGTTAGTTAGTTAGTTAGTTAGTTAGTTAGTTAGTTAGTTAGTTAGTTAGTTAGTTAGTAGTTAGTTAGTTAGTTAGTTAGTTAGTTAGTTAGTTAGTTAGTTAGTTAGTTAGTTAGTTAGTTAGTTAGTTAGTTAGTTAGTTAGTTAGTAGTTAGTTAGTTAGTTAGTTAGTTAGTTAGTTAGTTAGTTAGTTAGTTAGTTAGTTAGTAGTTAGTTAGTTAGTTAGTTAGTTAGTTAGTTAGTTAGTTAGTTAGTAGTTAGTTAGTTAGTTAGTAGTTAGTTAGTTAGTTAGTTAGTTAGTTAGTTAGTTAGTTAGTTAGTTAGTTAGTTAGTTAGTTAGTAGTTAGTTAGTTAGTTAGTTAGTTAGTTAGTTAGTTAGTAGTTAGTTAGTTAGTTAGTTAGTAGTTAGTTAGTTAGTTAGTTAGTTAGTTAGTTAGTTAGTTAGTTAGTTAGTTAGTTAGTTAGTAGTAGTTAGTTAGTTAGTTAGTTAGTTAGTTAGTTAGTAGTTAGTTAGTTAGTTAGTTAGTTAGTTAGTTAGTTAGTTAGTTAGTTAGTTAGTTAGTTAGTTAGTAGTTAGTTAGTTAGTTAGTTAGTTAGTTAGTTAGTTAGTAGTTAGTTAGTTAGTTAGTTAGTTAATTAGTTTATTAGTCTTAGAACACTTGCACTTTCATATCAAATTTGGTATAAATTGTTGCCATTAATCATCCCTGCTGTATTTCCATCACTTTTTTTATTTTAATTATTTACAAATACCTTTATATTGCAATTTCCCCTTGGCTTAGCAACTCTGCTTTAGTGAAAGAATAAATCAAAGAAAAATATGAAGCATTCCTTCTTTCCTTTGTTTCGTGCTTTGTTGTGGTAGGTTTTTGCCTTTTTGAAAGCCCTTTACGCATGAGCTTCCGATATTGTGTTGTTGCTGAGAGTGAAAGCTTTTACATCACATAAAAAATAAACAAAGTTCTCGAAAAAAGCACAGCATGATAAACTTTACTTTTTGGTTTACAAAAAAAAAAAGCAAATCAGCAATTGTTCTCATCATTTTTAAGTGAAAGTAAATGAATGATAAGTATAGAGTTGCCATTTCTACAAAGAGCATAAATAAAACGGTTCGGTTTCGGTAATAAAATAAACATTTTATATAGTTTTATAAGGAGATAAAATTAGAGTTTATAAAAGGTGAATTATAAAAATAGCACATTAAGGTGTGAATACAAAAATGTTATTTATTGAAGCCAATAGATTGAATTTTGTGACGAAATATCAAAATGGGTTTATTCGACTTGTAACCAAATTCGAAGGTTGGATTAAGCTCCAGCTCATTCTTATAAAAAATATACTTCGGACTCTGGGTTAAAATGTTTGTTGTCATTGTATATTTATATGTCAAGCGAAAAATAAGAGCATACAACTAGTTCCCGATTTAGATTAGTATTATGTATTTCTATTTTATTATAAAATCAAATGTAAATATGAATTGAAGAACTTAGCTTACCTTATCATTAATATTGGATCCAAAAACATGGTTTGTTACAGGTAGTAAGTATATCATTCATTTAATGTCTCACTATTCCTAGTTGTGTTTAAATCTTATTCCTTATATTTCAATTTAAAAAAATCAAAACGGAAAGATTCTGTTTTTTGAAGGAATCTGCTACAAAGTACATTAAATTCATAACTCAAAACTAAGCTCAATTTTTTAATTTAAATCTAATAATTGCAATTTGAATACACACAAATATTTTATAGACTAACGTTAGCAAATTCCACAATCTATCTATCTGTCTATCTGCCAGTTCGTCTGTCTATATCTATACCTTACATCTATTTGCCTGTCAACTTATTGCCATCTTCATGTTGTACTTAATGACAGTGATGACATCACAAAGAGTCTGTAAATACATACAACTTTATTACAAACGTGGTTAAACTGAACGTGCCATAGTTTTTTTTTTTTTTGGCTAAAAGTGTATTAGTGTCTATCCTTAAAATTGTTTGCCTATATGTATATAAAAATGATAATGTATTTGTGAATAGTTTATCCTGTTGCCAAGAAGGTCAAATTTTGTAAGACAATTTTTGTGCAAATAATTATTTCAAAGTTGGCTGCATAGCAGCAGTCAACAGTCAGCCAGCAAGTCAGTCAAGCGGTTTATTATTAAATGTAATTAACATTTTCACCATTTAACTTGATGTTTTATTACCACTCACCAAATGTTTGCTGCAAATAAATAAAAGAGAATTTGTGTTATTTACTTTTGCTTAGGTAATAAGATAAGATAATAATTGTTGAAATGAGTAAAAATGGAAATTAGTAAAAGGAAATGAGTAAATGTAAGCAAATAGACTGAGGGTGATTTAACCGTGGTCTTTATATAGTCAAAGATCTGCTAGAATACATTATATTTCTGGGACTATAATCAATAGTCCAGATTGTAGTCTATGTAGACTATAGTCTATAGTTCCATCTACAGTTCATACTATATTCTATAGTCCAGACTATATTCTATAGTACAGATTATATTCAATAGTCCAGATTATATTCAATTGTCCAGACTATAGTCTTTAGTCCAGATTATATTCTATGGTCCACACAATATTCTATAGTCCAGACTATAGTGTATAGTCCAGACTATAGTCTATAGTCCAGACTATATTATTGTCCACACTATAGTCTATAGTCCAGACTATAGTCCATATATTCTGAATTCTATAGTCCAGACTATAGTCTATAATCCTATAGTCTATAATCCAGTCTATAATCCAGACTATATTCTATAGTCCAGACTATATTCTACAGTTCAGACTATATTCTATAGTCCAGATTATATTCTGTAGTCCAGACTATATTCTATAGTCCAGACTCTGGTCTATAATCCAGACTGTATTCTATAGCCCAGACTATAGTCTATAGTCCAGGCAATAGTCTATAGTCCACATTATGGTATTTAGTCCTGACTATGGTCACAGTCCACATTATAGTCTATAGTCGAGACTATAGTCTATAGTCCAGACTATGTTCTATAGTCCAGACTATATTATTCTCTAGACTATATTCTATAGACCAGACTATAGTCTATAGTCCGCATTATGGTATTTTGTCCTGACTATGGTCACAGTCCACACTATAGTCTATAGTCGAGACTATAGCCTATAGTCCAGACTATGTTCTATAGTCCAGACTATATTATTCTCCAGACTATATTCTATAGTCCAGGCAATAGTCTATAGTCCACATTATGGTAATTAGTCCTGACTATGGTCACAGTCCACACTATAGTCTATAGTCGAGACTATAGTCTATAGTCCAGACTATGTTCTATAGTCCAGACTATATTATTCTCTAGACTATATTCTATAGACCAGACTATAGTCTACAGTCCGCATTATGGTATTTAGTCCTGACTATGGTCACAGTCCACACTATAGTCTATAGTCGAGACTATAGCCTATAGTCCAGACTATGTTCTATAGTCCAGACTATATTATTCTCCAGACTATATTATTCTCTAGACTATATTCTATAGTCCATACTATAGTCTATAGTTCAGACTATATTCTATAGTCTAAAATATAGTCTATAGTCCAGACTATATTTTATGTTCTAACGTCCAGACTATAGTCTATAGTCCAGACTATTTTTTATGTTCTAACGTCCAGACTATAGTCTATAGTCCAGACTATATTCTATAGACCAGACTATATTATATAATCCAGAATATATTCTATAGTCCAGACTATAGCCCAAACTCTTGTCTATATTCAAGACTATAGTCAAAACCTTAGTCTGTAGTCCAGACTATAGTCAATGTTCTAGAGGGACTATAATCTTTCAATAGTCTTAGTCTAGGTCGGTTTAAATCACAACTCTTTATAAAATGGTTTGTATAAAAACTAAAACCTTTAATTATATTTTCCTAAAAGATGAACAAATCCAAAAAGGGGTCAGTTTTAAATTAAATAGATTTTAAATTTTTTTCACAACCAGCAGCAACCTTTAAAACTTTCCTTTTTTAAATAAAATAAGCTTTTTCTTTTTATAAAAAAAAATATTTAACTTTTTTGCTGCAAAAAAAAACACCATCATTGTTGATGCTGAGGGACTGATTATGTTGATGACGATGATGAGATAAAAGTGTATTTATGCATGTTGTTGTTTGATAAACAAATTTTATTTAACAACAAAAAATATAGCTCCAACTCATACACACACACTCATTTTAATATTAAAGCGAAAGGGAAATTACAAAAAGTTTATTCTTTTATGGTCGCTCGCCTGTCTACTTTTTTATTCACTGTTTTTTTTTTCAGTTATTGGTTTTTTACCTTTAACGTGGCTTTCTTAAAGTTGGCTGTTATTTTCTTACCTTTTCCCTGAACAGGAAGCCAATCAAAATTATTTTTTGCTGCTGTTTGTGTTGTTTATAACTTTTGAATTTTATTAGAAATATATAAAATTTTCATTTATTTTTACACTTGATTTCCTTCTCTTCTTATAATTTATTTTTTTAAATTTTTATTTCCTTTTTATTGGATTTGATTTGGCTTTTTTATGAAATTCATGTCATTGTTATTGTTTGGCGTTAAAATAGGCTTTTATGCAGCTCAAATTTGAAAATGAATTGGTTTTTTTAATGAAAAAAACGAGTTTTTTATTGTGAAATAAAATATAATGGAATTCATATTCAATATTGGTTAAAAAGTTATAAAAAAATCTAGACGACGAATTCTCAGAGAAAATTAATAGGCACCAGAATTTATAAACTGAAATAGAACAGAAGTAGAACAGAACTAGAACTGAACTAAAACTGAACTAGAACTGAGCTAAAACTGAATTAGAACTGAACTTGAACTGAACTAGAACTGAACTAGTTCAGAACTAGAACTGAACTAGAACTGAACTAGAACTGAACTAGAACTGAACTAGAACTGAACTAGAACTGAACTAGAACTGAACTAGAACTGAACTAGAACTGAACTAGAACTGAACTAGAACTGAACTAGAACTGAACTAGAACTGAACTAGAACTGAACTAGAACTGAACCAGAACTGAACCAGAACTGAACTAGAACTGAACTAGAACTGAACTAGAACTGAACTAGAACTGAACCAGAACTGAACTAGAACTGAACTAGAACTGAACTAGAACTGAACTAGAACTGAACTAGAACTGAACTAGAAACTGAACTGGAACTGAACTAGAACTGAACTAGAACTGAGAAACTGAACTAGAACTGAACTAGAACTGACCAGACTGACCTAGAACTGAACTAGAACTGAACTAGAACTGAACTAGAACTGAACTAGAACTGAACTAGAACTGAACTGAACTGAACTAGAACTGAACTAGAACTGAACTAGAACTATGAACTAGAACTGAACTAGAACTGAACTAGAACTGAACTAGAACTGAACAGAACTGAACTAGAACTGAACTAGAAACTGAACTAGAACTGAACCTAGAACTGAACTAGACTGAACTAGAACTGAACTAGAACTGAACTAGAACTGAACTAGAACTGAACTAGAACTGAAACTAGAACGAACTAGACTGAACTAGAACTGACTGAAACTGAACTAGAACTGAACTAGAACTGAACTAGAACTGAACTAGAACTGAACTAAACGAACTAGATGAACTAGAACTGAACTAGATACGAACTAGAACTGACTAGAACTGAACTAGAACTGAACTAGAACTGAACTAGAACTGAACTAGAACTGAACTAGAACTGAACTAGAACTGAACTAGAACTGAACTAGAACTGAACTAGAACTGAACTAGAACTGAACTAGAACTGAACTAGAACTGAACTAGAACTGAACTAGAACTGAACTAGAACTGAACTAGAACTGAACTAGAACTGAACTAGAACTGAACTAGAACTGAACTAGAAACTGAACTAGAACTGAACTAGAGAACTGAACTAGAACTGAACTAGAACTGAACTAGAACTGAACTAGAATGAACTAGAACGAACTAGAACTGAACTAGAACTGAACTAGAACTGAACTAGAACTGAACTAACTGAACTAGAACTGAACTAGAACTGAACTAGAACTGAACTAGAACTAGAACTGACTAGAACTGAACTAGAACTGAACTAGAACTGAAAACTAGAACTGAACTAGAACTGAAAACTAAGAACTGAACTAGAACTGAACTAGAACTGAACTAGAACTGAACTAGAACTGAACTAGAACTGAACTAGAACTGAACTAGAACTGAACTAGAACTGAACTAGAACTGAACTAGAACTGAACTAGAACTGAACTAGAACTGAACTAGAACTGAACTAGAACTGAACTAGAACTGAACTAGAACTGAACTAGAACTGAACTAGAACTGAACTAGAACTGAACTAGAACTGAACTAGAACTGAACTAGAACTGAACAGAACTGAACTAGAACTGAACTAGAACTGAACTAGAACTGAACTAGAACTGAACTAGAACTGAACTAGAACTGAACTAGAACTGAACTAGAACTGAACTAGAACTGAACTAGAACTGAACTAGAACTGAAATAGAACTGAACTAGAACTGAACTAGAACTGAACTAGAACTGAACTAGAACTGAACTAGAACTGAACTAGACCTGAACTAGAACGGTACTAAAATTGAACTAGAACTGAACTAGAACAAAACTAGAACTGAACTAGAACTGAATTAGAACTGAACTAGAACTGAACTAGAACTAAACTAGAACTGAACTAGAACTGAACTAGAACTGAACTAGAACTGAACTAGAACTGAACTAGAACTGAACTAGAACTGAACTAGAACTAGAACTGAACTAGAACTGAACTAGATCTGAACTGGAACTTAATTTAATTCGAATGTAATTTTTTTATATAACTGTACACCTTTTACCTTCCTTACCAGATTTTAGTTCCTTTTGAAAAACAATATATCTTTTTAAACAAACTTTTGTTATAATTCACACCAAAACTATCATACCTTCCCGCTATTATGATGTTTTCTTTTAAAAACTTTTCACTCACTTATTTTTTAACAACAGTACAAGAATAAAAATAGAATCAGTAACAGCAACATAAAAAGAAAAATATAATCGCGGATTTATCATATTTTAAATCCAATGTTTCACACTGTTGCCAAAAGAAATAACAACAAAAGGGACTGCTATAACAACTGCAACAGCAACAACTTGCAACTGGAATAAAAAAGTATTCATTGAATACGAAAATGGCAAACCAAAGAATATCAAGTCCTCGTAATAGTATGAAGTTTTAGAATTATTTTCTCAATTCAGTCGTTTTATATTACTTTTTTTCAATTTCATTTACCACCTGTGACACAAACAACTTATGAGTTCTTTGAATGTGGCTGAGAAGTGTGGATAAAGGAGTTGGTTTCATGAGAAATATTACGGAAGTGCTAAAAGTTGTGTATAAAAAAAATTAGGAAAATTTTTATTAGTTTTTTGTTATACTGTTGAGATAAGTAACTAAAAAATTGTTTGTTTACTTGTTGCTTAAAAAGTATCTAGATTCTACAACATAGTGTAGAAGTGTATCGAAGCAGAGCATTAAAAGAATTCTATGATCCAAAAGGCTCTGTCAAAATCAATACTCAGAAAAGTTGAAAAATGTACATATGATCATGATCATGCATGATCAGATAACATACATATAGAAAATTGAAGCTGTTATGTCTGCCAAATCCTACACTCCTTAACTGTACTGCTTAACAACTTTGTCTTTTCTAATATTGCTGTTGTCCCAATGTTGTATTAAGTTTAAAACTACAAGCGTAAACACAAATACAGACATAAACAACACACAGGTATTAAGGATTTTTTCAAAATCTTTGTTTATGTGTGTGAACGAGTATTTTTTTTATGAAAAATGCTTGTCTCACAAGTTTTAATTAGTTTTTGCTTAAAACCTTCATACATCTTCAATTTTTTTACTTTTATACCACCCACGATTGCAATACGCATAAAAAAGCTGTGGCAGTTTAAAATGATGATCACAGGATTTGTGTGCAAAACTGAGATGTGGGTAGGTGAATGAAAAACTATTGCTATAATATCATACTTTTATCAGAATTTTCAGTTCTTTTAATTACATATAAAAAAATTAAACTGTGATAATTTTTGACCAAAGTTTCTGTTATTTATTAAGACTTTATTTCACGTTTCAGTTCTAGTTCTAGTTCAGTTCTAGTTCAGTTCACGTTTCAGTTTTAGTTCAGTTCTAGTTCAGTTTAGTTCAGTTCTAGTTCAGTTCTAGTTCAGTTCTAGTTCAGTTCTAGTTCAGTTCTAGTTCACTTGTTCAGTTCTAGTTCAGTTCTAGTTCAGTTCTAGTTCAGTTCTAGTTCAGTTCTAGTTCAGTTCTAGTTCAGTTCTAGTTCAGTTCTAGTTCAGTTCTAGTTCAGTTCTAGTTCAGTTCTAGTTCAGTTCTAGTTCAGTTCTAGTTCAGTTCTAGTTCATTCAGTTCAGTTCTAGTTCAGTTCTAGTTCAGTTCTAGTTCAGTTCTAGTTCAGTTCTAGTTCAGTTCTAGTTCAGTTCTAGTTCAGTTCTAGTTCAGTTCTAGTTCAGTTCTAGTTCAGTTCTAGTTCAGTTCTAGTTCAGTTCTAGTTCAGTTCTAGTTCAGTTCTAGTTCAGTTCTAGTTCAGTTCTAGTTCAGTTCTAGTTCAGTTCTAGTTCAGTTCTAGTTCAGTTCTAGTTCAGTTCTAGTTCAGTTCTAGTTCAGTTCTAGTTCAGTTCTAGTTCAGTTCTAGTTCAGTTCTAGTTCAGTTCTAGTTCATTCTAGTTCAGTTCTAGTTCAGTTCTAGTTCAGTTCTAGTTATTCTAGTTCAGTTCTAGTTCAGTTCTAGTTCAGTTCTAGTTCAGTTCTAGTTCAGTTCTAGTTCAGTTCTAGTTCAGTTCAGTTCAGTTCTAGTTCAGTTCTAGTTCAGTTCTAGTTCAGTTCTAGTTCAGTTCTAGTTCAGTTCTAGTTCAGTTCTAGTTCAGTTCTAGTTCAGTTCTAGTTCAGTTCTAGTTCAGTTCTAGTTCAGTTCTAGTTCAGTTCTAGTTCAGTTCTAGTTCAGTTCTAGTTCAGTTCTAGTTCAGTTCTAGTTCAGTTCTAGTTCAGTTCTAGTTCAGTTCTAGTTCAGTAGTTCAGTTCTAGTTCAGTTCTAGTTCAGTTCTAGTTCAGTTCTAGTTCAGTTCTAGTTCAGTTCTAGTTCAGTTCTAGTTCAGTTCTAGTTCAGTTCTAGTTCAGTTCTAGTTCAGTTCTAGTTCAGTTCTAGTTCAGTTCAGTTCTAGTTCAGTTCTAGTTCAGTTCTAGTTCAGTTCTAGTTCAGTTCTAGTTCAGTTCTAGTTCAGTTCTAGTTCAGTTCTAGTTCAGTTCTAGTTCAGTTCTAGTTCAGTTCTAGTTCAGTTCTAGTTCAGTTCTAGATCAGTTCTAGTTCAGTTCTAGTTCAGTTCTAGTTCAGTTCTAGTTCAGTTCTAGTTCAGTTCTAGTTCAGCTCTAGTTCAGTTCTAGTTCAGTTCTAGTTCAGTCTAGTTCAGTTCTAGTTCAGTTCTAGTTCAGTTCTAGTTCAGTTCTAGTTCAGTTCTAGTTCAGTTCTAGTTCAGTTCTAGTTCAGTTCTAGTTCAGTTCTAGTTCAGTTCTAGTTCAGTTCTAGTTCAGTTCTAGTTC